GCAATTTAGTTTTGCCTTATTGTCAAGGAATTAACATAGATGAGTGTCCAGGAAGTCATTGGGAGTTGAGTTTGATTTTTTTTATCTTTTTAGATGACCTCACTGATATTGAAGTGTTAAAATAATATTTCATAGAAGTGTTCAAGGAACAAGTCTATGATTCAGGCCTGAATAGCAACTTAAGCATTACACACATTTTCAAAGTAGGAAGGAAAATGACAAAGATATATTTCATGTCATATCTATCTTCCTTGTTTGTTTATCCAGGATAGAAGGATAGGTTAGAAAAAATATTGCAATGCAGCTTCTTTAGCAGAACTAGCACAATTTTAAATTTATATCTGATTGCAGCTCTGTGGCATGAATGTCATAGTTTTTCCCAATCAGGTATCATCTAGATGTGTTGGATTACATCATGCTTGGCAAGCATGGCCCATGAAAGCTGTAATCCAACATATTTGGAGGGCTTTATATTGGAGAACACAAATTATTGTGTGACTCAAAAACCCATGCTATACTAGCTTCATCTTATTATTTCTCTATGTATTTGTTAATCTTGGAAGAGGCAGTATATTCCTGCTCAGGAATATGGTTATCCCTTACCTCCAGTGAGAATGGAGATACCATTATGACATCACTGAAGAAGGGCTGTGAAAGTGTCATGAGCTAAATAAAAAAGGCAAAACATACTAAAGGGATTTCTACATATAGAATTCAATAGTCATGGCTTTTCTTCCCACCAAATAATGCTAATACTAATTTCTATTAATAATAGTTGGGGAATTAATTATATTTTTATTGTTATTTATTTCGCACTTTACCTCCTGCTCTATACTTACAATCCTGGGAAATGTAGTTTTGTAAGGATACTAAGGATTCTAAAACAAACAATGCCCACTCTGTCCAAAACTATACCTCCCAAATTCCTTGCAGAGAGGGAGTCAATTCATCCATATAGATATGCTCCAGACCAAAACTAGATAATCTTTGGATGGCTGCTGGCGAAACTAATTATTGTTTGAAGAGATAAAAGTCACAGTAGGCAATGTGCTGATGCAAAGTGGGCAGGGCCTTAGAAACCTATTTTACCGGGTTTTCTACCTATAAATGGTCCCACTGATCTTCAGCTACTGTGTTCCAATAATAGCTGCAAAAGCAATTATTTGAGTAGATATACACAACTTCTGCAGCCTTAGACTGCCCATGTTTGCTTCCAATTGCCTGTGCTTTGTTACTTGCAATAGCTGGATGAAATATTGGATTAGGCCAGTGCTTCCCAAATCTGGATAAATTACCCTACATTGGCTAAAAGTGGGTTTTCTTTGGGTAATGGCACATGAAACCATTACCCATCACAATAGGGACATTTAAATTGACTTAAAGATTGCCACACATAACATATTTGAAAATCTCCCAAAGTTTTTCTATTAAGATAAAAATCGAGGAAATTATCAATGGTAATTTGTTGAAATGACCCAAAGATCATGCGATGATATTTTTATGATACAGGTAGTCCTCAAATTACAGCCATTTGTTCAGTGGCTGTTTGAAGTTACGATGGTGTTGAAGGAAGAGGACTTATGACTGGTTCTCAGATTTTGATAACACTTTTTAATAAGTGGTTTTGGGCTATGAAGGAAAATGTTCGGGAAGCACTGGATGTAACGGCATGTGAGAATGACCTCGCGAGACGAGGGGAAGAGATGCTACCAAGGTAATGATCAGATAAAAAGGGGAGGAGCCTGCAACTGCTTAAAGGGCAAAGAAAGAAAGTTAAAAAGAATCTGCCCTAATGTATCAGACTGTTAAAAGTGACAGTGGGAGGCTTGCACTTTGCAAAGTCTTGTTAATGTAGCCTTACAATAAAATAGAATGAGCTCATCTGGTTGCGTTTCCTGTCTGGTTTACCTGGGAGGGCTGACTCTGAGCTAGACTAACAGAGTCCATTATTTTGCCTCACAGGCTGCCATCCACATGCTATAAACTAGAAGCTGACTGACCTGCCTTGTGGCTCTCCTTTTCTTGGCATAAGAGATTAAACATGCAGCTACGTGATTATACTTTCCCACGTACTACAGCTATTGCTATAGTAAAAGCAGGATTAAAAACTAGCAGACACATAAGTGGTGGACAGGCCTGGTAGAGGAGCACACTTGGTGTGTAAACTTGCATTCATTTAACATGTTTTTAATGGCCTTAAAGTGGAATACACACTTGCAAAAAGCACGTTTTTTGCAAATGAAGGCATGCTTTGTAGGAGTTTAGCATATAAAGGAAATCACAGCTCTATGTAAGTACTTAGGGGAAGAGTTAGGGCAATATAAAATCCTGAATCTATAAGTTTATTTTGAGCATTAGAATATCTACAAGTCTGAGACTAGTCTGCTGTAGAATTAACAATAATAAAATATTAATTGATCACTCTTGGATAGTCCAAAGGGATACAGTGTGTTGATCCCTAAATGTACTGGACTTCAATTTCTATCAGCCCCAAGTAGCATGGTCAATGGCAAGGACATTGTGAGTTGTAATCCAAAACATCCAGAAGGCTCCATATTGCCTATCTCTGGATTAACCTATCCTGCCATAGATGATTTTCTATTTTCTATGGAGACAACACAGAATGGTAACACTTATAACAAGGAACCGATGTATAAAGATTAAACAAAATCACAAGACAATATATTGGCAGCATACAGAAGTCATACAAATAATACAGAGGAAAATTACAACAGGGTTCAGCCAGTACGTTGGGTAATAAACAAGAGGATTTAGTACGATAAGGAGGAAAACATTCACAAATCACTGTTCATAGCACCAGAAGCCCATTTTATAAAATACAATATTAAATTATATGTATTAATATTTATTATTTTATACAGTGCCGTAGTCTTGTGCATGGCTGTTTAACAGATAATCCCCATGAGAAACAGCTTTTTGCTCCCAAGGACCCTACAATTCAAAGTTTGGAAGAATTGGGAATGAAATGAAGGAGAGTCAGTAAAGAGCTATAAGTACTATCACAGCCAGGTACCCTCCAGCTGTGCTAAACAACTCTGATCACCCCTTCCAGCATAGCCAATGGGAATTGTAACCCATCACATTGGTAGAGGGCCCTGGCTAGCCAAGGCTATTCTACTCTTACTTTACCTTTGACCTGCACAAGCTCTGAGTTTTTCAGTTCATTTTACATTTCCATCACCAGCTTGCTATAGGCAAGATTATGCTGTGTTTTTGCTTTTGTTTTGCATTCTTGCTTGGCTATCCCTTTTTCATTTATAATAAAATTACTTTAGTCAAAACTGTCTGGTTTGTGTGTATGTACATACACACCCACACCCACACCGAGAGTTTTCACTAAAGTAATTTAGTCTATGTATGCAACGTAACAGTCAGGATTTTCCCACCATCATGTGTGTGTGTGTGTGTGTGTGTGTGTGTGTGTGTGTGTGTGTGTGTGTGTGTGNGAGAGAGAGAGAGAGAGAGAGAGAGAGAGAGAGACGACAAATTGTTATGGATTGAAATAATATAGCTCCAAATTTTTAAGGGCTAACATATTGCTTCAGGGATAAATTAATGTGCACGTATTTTCCTTCCAGAAATGTCATCGTACTTTGAAAATGAATTTCAAAATACATTTAGATTGTGATATGGGATCATGGTATTATTGTAGATGACTTTCAGAATTTAAGGTCATATTTTTTGAGGAATGTGGTGGAATTTAGTCGTAGTAGAATCCCTTTTAGCAGGAAAAAATGTGTATTTATAAACATTAGAACTGTCATATTTTGTAACCAGTCTAGATTCTTGCATCTTTAATGGCAGATTGGCTGATTCCTTATTTCCATGTCATGAAGGATTCCCTTCTGATTTTTCCAAATCTGTTCTCTATTAAATGAACAGCCAAGTCAGCCAACGGTCAGATTTTTCCCTTCTACTTAGGTGGCAGTGCTACTTGCTGGAGATGATTGGTGGTCGTATGAACACAAAAATCCTATCAGAAATCCTTTCAAATCTAATTATAGGAATTGGAAGGAAAGCGTTAAAAAAGGAAAGATTAAAAAAAGGATTGTTATCCCAAACCTATCTGGGCACAGTATTGCCAACTCCACAGCAATAATCCTAGGTACAGTTAGACCTGCATAAATCTCATTCACTTACATGGGGTTTATTCTGTTACAGTTGCTCACAAGGGATGAGATCTAACGAAGAATGTCCTTCCACGTCCACTTTTTTGTAAGAAGCCCAATAAGACCTCAGAAAGCCAACACATATATAGGACTGGATGAAATGATTCAACTCAACCCACACAGAGAATTTCTTAGGCATCATGAAATAGCTATAAATTAATATATTGATTTGTTCTTTTAATACATCATTTTTTGGTTTCAGGTGTTTTAGGTATTCAAGCTTTGGCTAAATCTTCTACAATCGCAAGACTTCTAAAGTTAGTTTTGTAAAAGGGGAAAAAAACATTGTAATGGAATACAAAACTAAGAAGAAAACAGCGAGGACTGCAAACACAATTCATAATAATTCCAGAGAAACTCCAGTCCAGAGGAGATAGCAGGAGAGAAAAGCGTAAACAAGAAGACAAGACTAAGCCTCGTCTCGCGGTGCAGATTTTGAAATCTAGACTACATGTATTGAGATCAAATGTCTTTTTAAGGACATGGTCAGAATGTATCATGCGGAAATGAGATCCTGCAAGCACTTTTGCACACATCACTAGTATTTTGGGGGGTGGGGAAGCAAGGACACTCACGTAGTCATCAGCGATATATGGGCACAAAAGTACTTGCAGAAATCAAATATTGGAACTTGTACATTCTCACCTTAGTACAAAAGATGGAAACGTATCAATTCAATGCCATTTGATGAAAAGTCCTCTTCAAGACAGACAAAAACAGTAAGTCTCCAGAGTTATCAATGTGGATGAATCATAACAGTCAAGATCTATATAATTTTTGTTTCCCTCTGGGGAAATTCAATACATTCCCTCCCCCCCATCACAGTGTACATGATTTGAATTTGCCTGGCTAACTTCAGGGAGAGTGTTTATGCACACCTGGTCTTCTATAGCTTAGCTGGCCTTAGCTATAGAAATTATAAAGCATTTCCACTGACTAATATGTACACGGGATAATTAAAGGAGACAGATGTAGTTCTCTTGGGTGCTATCCTTTTCCGGTGCCAGTTTAGTCTTCTGAGAGACGGCATTTCAGGTCTGTGGGAGGGGTTCTGCCACTTTGCTGCTGCTCCAGCTGCTGCTGCCACCGCTGTCACCTGGGGGTTCCTAAAAAGGAAAAGGGAGAAAACAAAATCAAAGGAAGCTCAGGTATTCACTTCTGGGATTTTTGACAGCTCAGTAGATTTTGCTAGATGTCTGCAGTGATTGCAATGATCTCATGATGTCCATCTGAGGGACCTCACATTCTACCATGGTTGATGGGCCTTATTCCTGGCGAGGGGTGTATAGGATTTCTGACATTGTTTCTGACATTCACAAATTGCTCTGTTAACCATCTAATCCTGAAAGTGAATATCAACAATATGAAAAAAAAAATTACTAGAGTTTTCTGCTTTTTTTTCTTCCCTCCAAGAGGTTGAATTCCCCTCCCAATTCTGCTAAACAGAGCTTCATTACTGGAAACATTGATCTCACCCAGATTTTTAAAGAGGAATTACAACATTATTATTTTTGATATATTTATCACACCTTTTATCCAAGCAACTCTAGAGAGTATAAAACATCCTCCATTGTCCTTTCATTCCTCATGGAAAGCTTTTTTTAAAAAAAAACTTTTTCTGGTCATAGAACTTGTTACTTTAAAAAAATAAAGTAAAGAGGTAATGCCATTTATGGTAGTTGGAAGGCAGACTTTAAGAGTTTCTCATACCCCATTGAAAAATCCTCTCCCTTTCAGATAAGTGCACTGACTTTAGCTCAATGTACTCCAAGTTCTTTTTTAATTGAATAATCATAATCTTCATCAGGGTCCAGTCGGGAATACACAAAATGGAGACTGCTTTAGAAAGAAGATTTATTTAGTTGCCAGAAACTTCAGTGACAGCAGCATGTTTCTGGGGTGGCTGACCACATGGTGCTGGGAGTGGTGGGTTTTTATATCTTCTTGGGCTTTTATGTTTGGAGTTCTTCCTGTTCCTGAGGCATGAACTTTGACCTGAGGTTCAGTGTGTCCTTTTGGTATTCTGATGGTGGTGGGTTAATCCTATTATGTTCAAAAGGTCATGTCCTGCTTCACTGGGGCTGTGGCTGATGGCTATGTCCTGTGTTGGATTTTTTGGGGGGTGAGGGGATTTTGGTTCTAGGGATCTTTGTCTTTCTAATCCCATCAGCTCCAAGCTTCCCGGCTCTAGTCTTTCTGAAGGGATTATCAAATCTGCATTTCTACAGAGCTGGTCTGCTTAGTTTCTGCTTGGGGCTATTAAGAAAACCTGGGCCTGCTTTTCTGCCTTTTTAATATTCCCAAAAATATTTCCTTCTCGGGGGTGGGTGGGTGCTGTATTTCTACAATTGCAACAGGAAAAAAAGAGCAAAGGGCAAGAAATGGAAGGAAATGGAAGAGCAATAAATACAGTTAGTAGCTATTATGGGATAAACTATAGCAGTATTCCTCCCACTGCAACAGTTGACATTACAGTACCTTCTGTACAGGCAAACATGTTTATCTTATAATGCTTAATAAATATACATAGTTCTGCTCAGGTTACCACCCTACAATTATCTGCTGGTGGGATTCCTATTAGAGCTGTTGATATGGGCTGTGCTGCTGGAGAGAAGCTGTTCCTTGCCAAAGGAAAGCAGCCTGCTGATAATAGAGACAAATAGGCCATTGGCTTTTCACCCTTCTATAGCATATTTGAGATATATTTCCAGCACACCAGATATCTAGCGTGTGCCTGGTTGATTCCTCCCCAATGGGAAGGTCAGGATGTTTCCTTCATCCTGAGCTGTTTCTCTTTGTATCTGAAGTTGAGGAATGGCAGGATTTTTTCTCATGTTTTTCTGTGAATGCCAGAACATTTCTTCATCCAACTGTGAGTATGTTGCCCCATGCACCTCCCCCCCACGCATCATCTTGTGACCTATGAGTGATGGCATAAAATTGAGGAATATTTTCCTTGGTTCTTTTGCCTTGCCTAGTAGTAGTGTATTTGTTTGGGCAGGCTGGGAACCATTAGTTGTTTCTCTAACTGCTTCTTACCTGAAAAAGTTTGGACTACCTTTGGGCTGAAGGAGTGAAGATGGTCTTCTCATGTACTTACTCTCAACACAATATTGGTCACGTTTTATACTAGGATTGTGTCAATAGACTCTACACTTAGTTCATTTCCTGAAATGGGCTTAATGGTGGACTACTTCCCAGTGCTGTCCCATCCCTCTCCAGAAACCATGGATTGCAAATTGTGAGCCACCTGTAGAAATATCTGCCAGGAGCTATTTGCTGATTGTCTCTTAGGCATATGGTTAAATTTGTGAAAATGCCCTCTGTGTTAAATCCAGGACAGGAAAAGAATCTAAGCAGATGATTCCCAAGATATGTCTTTTTGGTTCATCCCCAAAGCAGAAACTCTGCTGCCAGAAAAAATCAGCTCTAGAAATGGAAGGAGGAAATGGTGTTTGTTTGTTTAATGTTAGATTTCCCATCACCAGGGTCAGAGTTCTCTCACCCTCTGCAGATGAAAACTCAAAATATCCTCTATCGCCTCTGAGACTTATAGCTCGAATCAAAATGACACTGAATAATTCAGTTGCCTGCTGCAGATGTTGATTAAATCTTCTCATACTATACTATATCTATAAATTAGCATGATTAGCGTGGCTGAGTGGTAAGGATGACCTTAATAAAGCTGTTGAATATTTACCAATCTGAAGAGCCAATATCTTATGAAAGCAAACAAGAACCCTTCTTTTGAGTAGGGAAGCATTGTGTGGCCAGGGAAAGAGAAGGATTGAGGAATTAGCTGAGTCCATTAAAATGACAGCTTGGCAATTATTTGATACTTAGAGGCTCTGGGGTACCTTGAGGGCTATTGGCAGGATTTTTGCATGAAGACAGAAACGGAAATTTTCCATATTCTATCCCTCTGTGAAATATGAAGATTGATGCTGTGTAATTTCTGCTCATTAACCAGCTTCCCATGTGTGGAGAACAGAACAGGAAATAAGTGGCAAAAGACAAATTCTCTTTGTGTCTCCCTTTTTATCTTGTTTTGTGGTTTTGTTTTGTTTTTTTGTTTAGGGTTGAAACCTGTCCCTGGAGATTTTTTTTCTTCAAAACATTAATATATTTCTGGATCCCACATTATTCCACCTCGGTTTTCACCACCTAGTAATTAATCTTTTTCTTGTCAAACACTGTGGGAATTAATCTTGGTCCAGGCTGACATAGTTTATATTAAGCACTCCTCAAATAAACCAAATTGTTTTGAGCAAACGAAGAAGAGACAATGAAGTAAGTTCTTGCTCTAGAATCACAGCAGGAAATTAAATCCCTCCCTTCCTTCCTGTAAGAATTTAGAAGAAAATCTAAGTCATGGGATGAAAGCAACTGAGATTGACTGTTAAAACCAAGAGCACTTTTTAGGTGTGTGGGGAGGGGTTCATTGTATTATTAAACCATCTAATACTGAATTGGATTGTGTGGGAATCATATTATCTGGAAAGGATCTGGTGCTTTCCAATAACAATACAGGTAGTCATCCTTACAATATGACCATTTGCTGAGACACAACTTGAAGTTACAAGTCACTGAACAAATAATACTTATGCCAGTCCCCAAATTTATGACCGTTGCAGTGCCCCCAGTGTCCTGTGAGCAAAATCTTGGTGCTTGGCAGCTCACTAGCACTTATGACTATAGGGCAGTGATGGCGAACCTTTTAGGGACCGAGTGCCCAAACTGCAACTCAAAACGCACTTATTTATCGTCGGGTGCTGGATGGGCGTGGCCCATTGGATGGGTGTGACTCATTGGGTGGGTGGGCCCATTGGGTGGGCATGGCTGCAATGGTAACGGCAGACTGGGTGGGACTAAAAAGTTCAATCAATCAATTCCAACTTTGCAAGATCTTTTTTTTCCCCGCGAGAAGTTGAAATTGATTGATTGATTGAACTTTTTTTTTTTTGCACACGTTGGTGGAGGCCTAAAGGGAAAAGGTTTTATAAAACCCAGCTGAAGGCCTAAGACTCGGGCGATGGCGCGTGTGCCCACAGAGAGGGCTGTGGTGCTATAGGTTCGCCACCACGGCTATAGGGGCATTTCCACCCCCCCTCCATCTCATCCCTTTTGGCTGTCCTGCACAGCAGCACTCTTGACGATGGTGCTGGGGCCTTCAGAAATCTCAGCCAGATGCTACCACCCGCAGGCTACTACTTCAGCCAAGAAGTGCCACCTCAAACTCTCATTGCAGCCAGGCACTCCAGCTCCATAGTGCAAAGCCCCAGCCGCTCTGCCACCCTGCGCTCTGCAGGCCCTGTTGCATCCAACTGACCTTCACTGTTTTCCTCCCAGTGCTGACAAGATGCATCTGGCCTGACCCTTTGTGAGGCAGTGGGCTGGCCGTGCCAGGCCTTCTTCCCAAGTCCATTTACCCTGTTCTCCAAACAGCATGTTTGGAGCACAATGCACTGTTCTTGTGATGCTTTGCAAGGCCTCAAAGGTTTTCTGAAGGCTTTCTGAAGCATTATGAGAATGGCACACCCCATTTGGGGAATGGTGTGTGTTATTTGGAGAACAGTGTGAGCAGCCTCAGGAAGAAATGGCCAGCAGATATGTCACATAGGAAGACGGTAAAGGTCAGCTGGACACAGCAAGGCCTGAGGAGTGCAGGCCAGCTGGGTTGACTGGGGCTTTGCACTGTGGCACTGGGATGACGGGCCACACAGTGTGGGGCTTGAGGTGGCTCTGCCTGGTGGTGCTGAGATTAAAATAGAGCCCAGATGATGGTGGCAGCCGGCTGAAACTGCCAACTGCTCTGTTGTAGGAGATGACCAGGCTGAGCCTGAGGGAGGGGGTCAAACCCGTCATCAGTCATGACTCTCTTCACACTCACAAGAGATCTAAGTCCAACCCACTTTGAATTCCTCTGACTCTTAAGTATCACCATTTTGCTTGGGCGGTTAGTAAGCTTGCAATAAATCTTTATACCCATTTGAACTGCCTGGATCTCCTGATTTCCCCGGCCCTTGACACTTGGGCCTCTGCCCTGGTGCTGCCACCACGAAGGAGTGCCACTGGGCAGGATGGTCAAAAGAGAAAAGATGAGGGT